TCTGTGTGTGTGTGCGCGCGACAGTTTTTAAAATATGCTGCAATGAGAAAAGTGTCTCAGCCCGAGTGTTTGCTCATATAGAAAGAAAATCACATTTATTTTGTGCCACGGTTTCACATCTATGCAGCTAATTAACATCCTTACATAAGACTGGCCCCCCTCTTTCATAGCATCTCTCGTTTCTCCCTTCTCACAACACCGCCAGCTTCTTTTTATCCTTCCAATTTTTCCCCCCTCTTCTAATTTCACAATAATAACATCAAACTCAAAAACCAGATCTCTGCTTCTGTGCCGTCTCTCCTGTCTTCCTGGCAGCTTCATTGGGGAGATAAGATGCAAGAATCTGAGCTGACTGCTTCTATAATTACCCATATAGGCTCATAGCTGCAGCTCATCACTGTCTCACAGGCACAGCGTGTTATTTGAGCCACCAATACACACACACTCTCTCTCGTTACTCTGCAAGATAACAAGCTCTTACTTGCAGTATCAGTGTCTCCTGTTATCACTGCACATTCACACTTCCTTATGTCTTTATTCAACCTTGTGGGTAATAAAAATTGGCAGTGCGGAGATCGTCCTCAGTGGTTCAAAGCTGCGTTAGCTAAAAACGCGTTAATGAGAGTACAGAAGTTTTTTATTATCTTCTTCTCTGTTGAATTCACTGGATTTAGGCCAAGTTCTGCTGTTTCATTTCTCAAATTGAGTATCCTGTGTGTCTGTGTGTGTCAGTTTGCTCGGATTAAGGAGAGGATGAGCCTGCAGGAAGAGCTGGACCAGCTCCTCTTCCTTGTGTCGGACCAGTCTCTGACTCTGCTGCCAGAATACCACCAGAGGATCAAGGTTTGGATGAGAGTCTTTATCCTGACGTGTTTCTGTCCGTTGGCAGAAAAATGAATCACCGGCTATTTTTATAAGTCAGTCATTTACTGAGTAAAAAAAAAGTGTAAAGACCTCTCGGTTGCTTCTCAGGTTGGAATATTTTCCTCTTCGTCATCTTCCTGTGTGATCGTAGGTCTATGAATTCTTGAATTTAGACATAAAAATGTTCCCATCACAATTTCCCAAAAGTCAGAGTTTGCTTAAATGAGGTTTTTGATCATCTCAATAATTCCCAAGACATCAGAAGTTTGCTACATTGTCCTGGATTTGAGTCCAGATGGGATCTGTGCTGTGTTTGTCTCTAATAAAAGCATAAAATAGGTGAAAAAAATCTAAAAATATTTAATTTGGAGACAAAGAAAGGAGCTAATATTTAAAAATTATCTTAATGAACTGATCGAATTCTGTCTGTTATGCTAACAGTGATGCTAACAAGCTGTTTATTTTTGCCATTATAGAATTTGGTACTAACATGCATATGTTTGCTATTCAGCACTTAAAGCAGACTACCCGCTGTGCTGTTTAAATTTCACAAGAGAAGCAAAATTCATCCTCCAGGTGGCGCTTGAGGAAAAAAATTCTTTAAAAGTGACAAAGATTCACCGCCTCATCACAGAAGAGGAAAAAGGAGAAATACTTCATTCTTTATTTATCCCAACAGTTGAATCAGTAAATCAAAGTACAAATGTTATACAATGCTACTTTTGGCTCCACAGGTGGAATCGAACCAGCACATCTGGAATTGAACCAGCAACTTGCTTGCCAAAGAAATGTGGGACAGCCCTAAGTATTATATATTAAAGAGCTGGTATGAGGCAGTAAACGAGCTCAAAGCGTTCAGCTGCACGTTCAGTAATGGTGCACACACTCGGCCATTTGCATGAGCTCTTTGTCAGGTGATGGAGGATCCAGTCATCCTCATCAGGACATTGAACCAATAAGGAACTCCCTCAGGCTCCCTTTGCAGTAAAATGTCTGGGATTGCACCATCTTTCAGTCACAGCTAGTGCAATCCCTCCACATTTCTTCTTACTCCTCAAATTTCATATCAGTGAGATTTTTCAATCTGGACTCAAGTTGTTGAATGCTTGACATTTTTTATCTGCTAGCATAGTTTCCCAGGTTTTAGTAGCACTTTTTCCTTCAAAACTCCACAAAAATAAACAAACTCAGAGGTTTATTTTCCTCGCCGGCCTTCCTCAGGTCCTTCAGTCCCTCCAGTACGTCGACAGCAGCGGGGCAGTGCAGCTGAAAGGCCGCGTAGCCTGTCAGATCAGCAGCCACGAGCTGCTGCTGACGGAGCTTCTGTTCGAGAATGTCCTGAGCCCGCTGGCGCCCGAGGAGAGCGCCGCCCTGCTGTCCTGTCTGGTCTTCACTCAGAACACCCAGGTGGAGCCGCACATCACCAACACGCTGCAGGAGGTGAGGAGGCAGAGGAGTTTTTTTTCCTTGTGACTCACTCACACACAAACACTCACGTCACATGACACTGTGCACATTTGATGAACAACGTCCCGCAGGAAGGACGGCGAGGGCACGTCACCTGACTCCCCCCAGTCACTCCCTCACTTTTAAATCACTCGCCGAGTCTTTTTCTTAAACACGAAGGAGCTTTATGGCAGCCTGAATTAGTGATGACTTAAGTAGCAGTGCAGACGCTAGAAGAGCAGAAGTACAGCGACGTGGTTTGTAAAGCAGGTTCATAATGTCCACACTGAGAGGCGGGAGAGTGAGTCACTTGTACCTACATGATCAAATCCGGCCACCAGCTGAACTCAGCATCCTGATCTTGTCCTTTTTCTCTACCAGGGCATCGAGCAGGTGAAGTCGGTGGCTCAGCGCATCGGAGAGCTGCAGCGGGAGTGTGGGATACCGCAGACGGCCGAGGAGTTTGTAGGCCAGTTCAAGTTTGGCCTCACAGAGGTGGTTTACTGCTGGGCCAGGGGAATGGTGAGGTTTAACACTTTGTTGGGCTTTATTTGACCCCAGTCACACATTTTGGTGAGAGGCAGTATGTCTAAGAATGTGTGGGAATGACTTCACTGAGAACAGAGGAAGTAAAAGCAGTTTTCAGTCTGCTGGGGCTCTTGAAACAGGTGAGCGTGATCCTCTTAAATCCACCTAACAAGTCATCGGGTCACAGATGGGCTGTTCCTCTGCTGAGACGAGAAAGTGTAACGCATATTAATATTAATCCACCAGCTCTTCCTACCTGATGAGTACATTTAGCCCCAAACAAGGAGGGAAGAATCCAGATTAAGACAACACTCAATGCCAGATGACAGAGATTACACTTTAATCCCTGCTGTTACTGGGACTGGTGATATTTATAAGATTATTTATTTATTTTTAACCCTTTAAAGCAAAAAGGAATAAAAAAAAATACTATCATTTGTTCCTATTACATCAACATTCCAGTCTTCAACCTATCATTGACACCTGGATTTGGCCTCTTTCTTCCATTTTTCTCAACACTGTTCCTCCTGAAGTCTTATCATGTGACTCAGTTTCATAACTGCCATTCATCTTGCGTTGGAGGATCCAGTTTTTGTCATTTCTTTGTGATGGATTTCTTACAGACTGCTAACAAGATTTTAAACAAATACATGACCCAGTAATGTGGCAGTTGCCAAATTAATACACTCCTTGAACTCTACAGTCCTAGGTTAGAGCCAAAAGACATTTACATTTACTCCAACATGGCTGTTTGCAGATTCAGACTTGCTTTTAATTCTGGGTGTTGACAATAAGTGTTATCAAATCTTACAGAATTAACTGTTGTCTTCTCAACATACGCAACCTCAGAAATATTCTTACACAACCCCCCCACCCCCATTTCTGGTTACATGTAGCATTTCCTCTCCATCAGTTGTTGCTATAATGTAGATACTACTCTATTTCTTTGAAATGTTGACTCCACTTTTGTCCTCTGAGCTTTACTTCTTTACTCAGAAGAACCCAAGATGATTTTTTTCTTATATGAAAATTGTTTTAAACTTTTTTTTCTGATTTGCAGAGCGGTTAAACAGCATCACTGGTTTATTTTTGCAGGTCTTTGTACTTGCCAAAGTAAAAGTAAAGCTCAAAAACAAGCCCGATCATTCAGTTGCAAACAAGGACAAAGATTAGAAGACAAGTAGTGTGATTACTCAAACTGCATGTTGTGAACAATCATGAGAATTTAAACACTAACTTCTCAGTTTTGGCTTCAGGTATCAGGATTTGTGGTTCTTAAAAAAGCTCATTTTTTTAAAGCTGCCTGCAAATCGAATCACGTTTTTATTCATCACATGCAATTTAATATTACAAAATATAATGAGTTTATCACTTTATGTCACCCCAGACAGAGTATCCTGGAGTACCAGAATGTTACCATAGAAACTGTCTCCTTTCTTTACTTTATGAATGGATAAACTTAAGATGTGATTCGTGCTGTTAAAGTTTCCTCTTCGTAACTCACCACCTCCTCTGTCCGGTCCCAGCCCTTCGCAGAGATCGCCCTGCTCACGGACGTCCAGGAGGGCACGGTGGTCCGCTGCATCCAACGCCTGGACGAGGTGCTGAAGGAGGTGAGGCAGGCCGCCCGTATCGTGGGAGACTCCGTCCTGGGGAGCAAGATGGAGAAGGCCTCCTTGGCCATCCGCAGGGACATTGTCTTCACTGCCTCCCTGTACACCCACTGAAAGGTGGCAGGAGGGGGGAGGTGTGCCTGAAGCCAAGTGCTTTCTTTGAGCTGGAGGGGTGAGGGAGATGTACAGGGAGGAGATAATTGAGGCAAGAGTGTCTTCACATGTTTGGAGCTGAATGTGCCTACAAAACATGTTGTTTACATATAAATTCTTAGCAGGATGGAGGGACTTGTTTTAATCAAACGGACCAAAGTGCAGACTGTGAGGTGGGGGTTGGGGGTTGCGTTGTAATTTATTGTACAGTAATAAAAAAAAAATCTCTATTCAAAGCCTGCCTTTGTTTGTTTGTTTGCATGGGTCTATTCTTCTGGGTTTCTTAACTACAAATCTGCCATCATGTGAGGACAAGATGTGTGAGGGAGGGCGGTGAGAGAGATCCATCCAATTCAGAGACTGCCTCGTTTGTTGAGCTGTAATGGGATGTTCCAGCCTGCTGCCTGTGCGCGCTGCCCGAGTCCGAGCTGTCGCTTTAAGACAGCGATAGCTTTGTGTCTCATTAATTCAATGTACAGCGACGCGTTAGCGGAGAAACATTATTAGACTGCCCTGCGCGCACAGAGAGGAGAGGAGGGGGAGCTGAACGGAGCTGTGCGCGGTGACAGAGCCGGGTTTAAAGCGACAAAGGAAGAAGAAAAAACACCTCAAGTTGTTACTGCCGCTAAAGAAATAAAGATGAAAACATCCTGAGGATGGGCTGCACACGTTTGGATTAAAAGTCTGCATAATCTCGCACTTGAAGGAGGATTTTCACCACCAACTGGAGTAAAGGAAAAAAAAATAGATCCGATCAAAGGAGGCGGACAGAAGATCTGAAAGCATGTCGTCAGAAAAGCACGGTGAGGCGTTTTAATTGTCTGAAGCACGAAGGCAGATCCAGAGCATCGGCCTATATATATGTGTGTGTTTTGGTTTTTTCTAGTTTGCTGTCATCTGCGCTTTTCCCAGCTGCCCCCTTGTCAACCTCTCCATCCGCTTTTGCTTCTGCTGTGTCTACAAGATGATGCACCGCTGTGTGGGTGCAGCTTCGGTGGGGGTTGGAAAAAATAACCGCAGGGCCGTGGAGACTTTAAACTAATATCATCAGACTTTCTGTGTGTATCTGCTGAATGTATTTCTTTTACATCTAGTTTATTTTCATGTTCAGATTTTCTTCACTGAAGTGAGCTTTCACATCTTTCCTGGACTCCCTGTTCCCTATTTTTCCTCCCCTCTGTTATATATGTCTCACATCATTACGCACTGGCCTACGTCTATAGACAGGATGTGGGTGTCCTTTGCGCGTGCACGCCTTTAACAACCATTTATTGCTCGTGAACCCGAGCCTCTCTTCCAAAGACACACACACTTTAATCCTTCCACTTTCTAATATTTTAGAATTTGAAGCACCAGTTACTGATGTTGCTGGTGACCTGCATCTTTCCTCTTAAAAATATTCAAATAAACAGTAAAACTAAGTAGATGATGACACCTGATCTTGCCTCAGGAGTGTGAAGAGCATAATGTGGAGCAGGCTGTAAACGTGACCGCTGTCTTGTGCTTTAATCAGATCTGAGAGGCTATAGTTAAACAATGGATGGACATCTGCTGATGCTCAGAAGACACTCATGGGAATGCAAAACCATTAAAAAACAGCAGGGATGTTAATGTGTTCAGCTAAATGGGTGTACAGGTATTACTTAACTGTTCCAAGCTTCTAAGTAGCAAATGCATCAAGAAGAGAGTGTTACAGGCATTTTGCTGATGACAGACAGACTCGGCTTGAGGGCAGCATCACATTCAGGTGTCCACTGCCACAGCTCTGTGCGTGCTTCTGGGTGAATCATCAAACATTAACGTGGCCAGTCACACCTGAGCTTTTCCCACAGCTCAAAATGTCTCAGGTTGTAACTCAACAGAGAAAATCAATATTTCTGATTAGGTGTGTTTGACGGCTTCTGGTCAGTAAAATCTGCAGCTGTGGGCGCTGCAGATTGACTGCGACCTTAAAGGGACACTTTACCCCAAATCAGACATATCCTACCTCGGGCCTTAACCTGCTGTTTATTGATCTCAGCTGTTTTTAGTGTGACTTTTTATGATATCGGCACCAAACCAGCTCAGAAATGCTCACTTTACTTGGAATAAAATGCAACCAAATGGAAGATAGATGGATGCTACAGATTCAACTTTGCAGTTTTATGTCCCAGTGATCACTGATTAAGGCAAATTTAAACTTTACTGGCCAAACAAGAGTCCAGGGATGTTTCAAGATGGCTGCTGAGCTGTGAGACATTACAGCTGATCTGAGAGAGGAAGCCATGAATGTTTAAATGCCGTCACTCTGTCACGAGCCTCGCCTGGACAGGCTGACACTTTCATGCAGCTGGCTGGAGTCGTTTGGGAGTTTCCGCATGAAACTGCTCACATCAAGATTTTCTTTTTGAGTAACCTGGTCATTATTTCTGTGAAGAGGTGCTGCTGCTGTTTTTTTCCCCAATATAGGCTATTTTTCCAGCATGTTGAGCACCACAAGGCAGTACTTTACTTCCATTATATCCAAGAGAAGAGGAGCATTTCTGCACCTGATCCCTTTTGGCACGTGCCAAAACAACTCAGATGGATAAATTAGATCTACATTTGATTTTGAGGTGTACTGTCCCTTTAATGTTTAAGCATTACAGTTTAATGGAAAGGGGGAAAAATCAATATATATTTGATTAAAAAACTATTGATCTATAATGATGGCTAGAATTGGATCAGTAGCAGACAACTTGCTTAAGACAGTGATCTATTCCTGCACAGAATTCAAACATTAAGGCAGAAAATGGAAGAGATTTCATTCAAAAGAAACATTATCATTATTTATTCAGTGAAATAACAGATGAAAATGTGTATTTTAGCTTAAATCTGTTGTTGAAGTGATGACAAAACACTGTGCGTGCTTGCATTTTGCAGAGTAATGATGAGCGATTAAATGAACTACTCGGCTTCAGTGTGCCCACAGTTTTATTTCTCTCATCTGGATGCAGGTCGTTGCGCTATTAAGATCTTTATCATAAAGAAGAAAATAATGTGACGTCTCATGTTATTTTATATGGAATTCAAGTTATAATTGCCAAAGATGCTGCACACACACACACACTCTGATATATTTTCTGCTCATCACATGATGACCTTTCAAAGGTGTCTTCCTCCTCGCGCTCGCTCCTTTCCCCTCTGTCTCTGTCTGGTCCACTTCCTGCTTGTGACAGGGTTGGGGCCTCTTACGTAAAACCGGTCCCCCGAGCGCACAAGTCGTCATCCCTCATCACCCAGCTTCTCTCCCGCTCGCTGACACTGCCTCCTGCTCTCCTTCTTCATGTCTCATCAAATCCTCCCTCTTCTATTCCTCCATCCATCTCCATTCTTTTTTTTCTTCTCCTTTTCTTCCTCCTCATGTCCCTGTCAACTTGGATTATCTCAGCCACCTCCCTGCTTCGACAACGCAACACCCTCTCAGTTGTTTTCAGTGTTAAGCAAACACAAAGGGAGCAGAGGTGTGAGCATTAAAGTGTTCAGACGTCCAGAAGCAGACAGATGCTTCGGGGCGTGTTTCTCGACACCTGAAATGACAAATTTCTGCTGCTAATAAACTTCTTTGTGAAGGATAAGCAGAGAAAAAGACCTTTCTTCTTTTCCTTTGCCTCAGTGAAAATGCCAATCACTGTCATCATTAGCCTGCGCAGGTTGGAAATGTCAGGCTTTGTAGCTGCTTTTTTAAGTCTTGCTGAAGAGCTGTGCTCCGTGTAATTGTTTTTTTCTCCTCCTCGGCAGTGAAATAAGACATATTAGAGCCAACATGCAAACACACGTGTAGCCGTGCTCGAGTTAGATAACACGCTCTCGCTCTTGCATCTGTTTCTTTTATTGTTCTTCCTCTGCCTTGTCTATTTCTGACTGCTCACCTACCTTTCCTCATCTTTCCTCCCTCTTCCACTCTCAGGGCTCGATGACTCTGGCCGTCAGACCATGCAGCCTCCTCCGTACCTGCCCGGCCCACAGGACCCCAACATGCCCCAGCACCCCAACATGCCTCCCGCGCCGGGCACCCAGCCCAACTACCCTCCTCCGCCTCCTCCTCCGGGTTCAGAGGGATACCTCCAAGAAACTCAGTTCCAGTGTGCCCCGATGGGGCCTCCGGGAGCCCCGCAGGGCTACACTGTCCAGACCCAGGCTCCGGGAGGCACCATGGCGCACCCTCCTGTGGGATACCTCCACCCGGGCTACCCGCTTCAGCTGCAGCCGTGCACAGCTTACGTTCCCGTCTACCCCATGGCATCGGTGAGTGAGACACAGCCTTGAAAGATTTCACAGCTCTGACAGCAGGCTGCAGCAGAATTAAACCTCCACACTTCTTTCCGGCTCGTTTAAAATTGTCCATAATTCACTCCTCAGTAAGATCCACTAAATGTCATTTGATGGTTATTATGCAGGGAATCAAACGTTCTTCTGTTATCTCAGAGGCTTGTCTCTATCTTCAGAGAAAATGCACATTTTGTGAAGTAATTTGCTCATTTTCTGCTTCGTTTGTGGCACCTGCTGTTGCGTCAATTAGCTGGACATTTATTAATCAAACGATGTCTCTTTTTTCCCCCACGTAATCAGCAATAAATGTCTGGAAAGCTCAGTCAGAAAAAGGAAAATTACAAACCTTCTGATTTGTTCCAGCGAGCATGTCTTTATTTATCAGGCTCGTGTCCCACCAGCCCACAAAGAGCCTCTTGTATGATTTTAAATATTTTTAATGATGATGAATGATCATTTTTAATGATTAATGATGCACACAGCAGTGTTTTGAATAAGCTCTTTGGTGCTGCTTTCATTTCATTAATTTTGGAGGGTCAGACAGGGACGTAAACATGCAGGCTAATTCTGCACGTTGTTGCATTAATAGGCTGAAGTAATTTGCATTGATTGTCCTTGTACTTATATAAAAGTGTAGGACATTTTTCAGGCTAGAGGACATGTGGTTTCATTTTTGTGTGCAGCTTTCCAGCAAAAACAGGCTGAGTGTGTTTGTTTGATTCTCATAACAATCGAGATATTTCTCTGAGCTTTGAGGCTGACGGGTGAAATCGGTACTTCGTGGTAAAGTGTGCTTAAAGTGAAAGATCGTCTGGAAGCCACACATAAATTATAATACATGAAAGCTGACGTGTCAGTTAATTAATATCAATGTAATCAGTTAACCCACATTACATAAATTATACTGCTTTTTTTTTACACTCTAATACATAACTGAGTGCGTCACTGAGGTGGAATATAAATGCCAATACAATATTCGTACATTAGAGGAGCTGTAAGTTTGAAAAATGAGTCACAGAGCAGCAGTTCAAGCCACTAAAATTAATTGAGTTGGCAGATTTTAAATCAACTCATATACAAAACAACAACAACAAAAACGCAACAAAATCTTTTGTTGCGTCATTGTAAGGCTTTTTTAAAAAAAGAATTTGTGCACAAATCCTTCATAAACAAGACAATTAGATTTTAAGAGAAGCTAATTTTGCATAAAGAGATCCATATTTTTTCTTTGGGCTTTGCTGCTGCTTTTGCACAGACACACGATTATCAGCAGGAATAACTGGCTGCACAGGAGATGTCCTTCACAACAGACGATGCCAATGCGTAAGAGCATCTTATGACACTCAAGCTCGGATCTGGGTTGCAAAATACTGTGAAATCATTAGAGGAGCATTATTCCAAATTATCAAGACAATAATTTGCGTGCATGAAATTAAAAATGTCCCCACATGGGACATCAGGGTGCTCTGCAGATCGAAGAGGAATTTGTATGTTAAACAAAGGAAGTGCAGTACAACTGTAAACTAACAATATAGTTGATGACTGCAGGGAGGAACTAAAACATGTGCAGCACTAAATAAGTTTAAACTGAAGTTAAAGGCCAGTACTTGCAGGTGGAGGAGGGGTGAAGGACAAGTAGAGCTGCTTCTCTCTGTATTGTTCAGTTTCTACTGTTTTTCTGAGGCTCATTTTTTAAAAATAAAACAAGTGCCGTGGTTTCATAAATTTAGCATCTCTGACAGATGGGGATATTTGAGGGGTCAGAGGATGATAAATATTAAATCTTTTCCTGTTTTTCTAATTCTGCAGCAGAGTTTTACCTCTCCAGGTCTCATCTCACTGTCCTGGGAGCTTCGGAGTATTCTAATATATTAATAACAGTAATGACAGGAATGAGACCATTTGAGCAGACGACATAAGTCCTTGGTTGAACTATTACGCTTCAACATCATTTATTTTAAGGACCAATCTGTACTCTTTGCCCATTCATTGTTGCTGGAGAACACAGTGGATTTTTGAACTACAGCCACACGTTCGTCCATGTTAATAGATCAAACAATTTATATTTTACCCTGAACTAACATCAAAGTCGTAAAACGAGGCCTCGGAAAGAGACTGTGAATCATCAGACATCTGAAAGTGCAGCTGTCCAGCTTCCCGTCGGTAATTTCTTAAAAGCAGCGTGGGTTTGAATGCGAGGAGAATAATATCGAGAGCAAAATCTGCACTGCAGCACAAAATCACAAAATCCTTTTCCTTTTTTTTCCTTTTTTTAAAAAATGTATTTCTGTCTGGGCTGCTGAGCTGATAAACATGCACAGCTCAAGCAGAGCGAATTGTGATGCGTTTCTTGCAGCTAATTGAAAAAAACCCAAGTACTGAACATAATTTTTAATCCCGACAGGCTGAAAGCGGCACTGCACTCTGATATCTCGTCTCACAGCTAATGGTAATTACAGATATGACTGTACGGTGCAGGAGGCAGTCACGTCTCAGCTCCGCAGGTGGTTTAAAATAAAGCTAAAATTGTCCACTTGGCATAGAGAGCTAATGTTCAGTGCCTCGGCGCCACGATTAGGTCGCCTCCAACGTCCAACTGTGAGAAATTCATTTAAATTAAAAATGAGACAATCAAAAATCCGAATGCCCCTTCTGACACCAGCGATCCTAGCAGGCTCGCTGCCCGGCTGCTGTGCCCTTCTTCACTCACATTAGCGTGTTCCTCTGTGTTTTGGTGTGGAAAGACCTTTGCAAGCTGCTGGACTGTTTTAAAAGCACCGCTCTCCATCTTCTCCTCCTCTCTCTCTCTGTTCAGGGTCAGCCCTACATGCCGGCTGGAGGAACTCACCCGGGGATCCCACCGGGCCAGATTCACCCCATGCAAATGCCACCGAGCATCACCCTAATGGACCGCCGACCACCGCACGACTACCTGCCCATTGCCGTGCTCACCACTGTCTGCTGCTTCTGGCCAACAGGCATCATTGCGATCATCAAAGCAGTGCAGGTTAATGCTGCTTCATAGTCTCCTTTTCATCTGTGGCTTTCATATCGATATAATATCACCTTTACAGATGACTTTGCGATGAATTTTCACTTTAAAGCCATTTTATTTGCAAACGCAGACGCTCCCATTTAAAATGATAAATGATAGAAATCCTGCAGTTTTTCTTGTCGTCCTGTAAAATAAGACAAAAGCTTTCAGTGACTTAAAGCTCTTTCTTTGCACGTTAAAACAAGACTCTATAAAATCAATATTTAAGAGAATATTTTACTTCCAGTAATTTCTCAATAATTTCTAGAAACAGCCGAGCAGTGAGGTTCTCAGTAAACAGAACAGGTATCTTTCTTGCATTTAAATGTTTCATATTATCATACAAATTGTAATATTTGATAAGCAGAGCAAATACAAAATAACGTTTTTAAATTATGATTTTATTGATTGAGGGATAAAAAGCTATCCAAATTTATTTACATGCCCTACATTTTTTGAAAGTTAACTAGCCTTCCTGAAGAAGGATAAAAGATCTCAAAAAGTAACACATTATGCCACAGTCTGAAGAAACACACTTGAGAAACAAAGTCACTGACATCTATCAGTCTGGAATGGGTTACAAAGCCATTTCAAATGCTTTGGGACTCCAGTGAACCACGGTGAGAGCCACTGTATACAAATGGAGTAACAGGTGTGTCCAGCCTACCTAAATTACTCTAAAAGCGAATCGACGAATCATCCAGGAGGTCACAAAAGAAACAGAACAACATCTAAAGAGCTGCAGGCCTCGTGGTTCTCAGTTAAGGTCAGAGTTCAACAGTAAGAAAGAGACTGGACAAAAATGGGAGAGTAACATGGTAGGGTGATGGTCTGGGGCTGGGTTGCCTCTTCTGGACTCTGGGCTTGCTGTAATTGATGGAACTGCTGTCTACCAGAAAATCTTGAAAATCATCAGTTTACACCCTGAAGCTCAAGTTTACTTCGGTTATGCAGCATGAGCCAAAACAACCCAGAAAGTTCACCTCTGAATAGCTCAGAAATAAACAAAATGAAGGTTTTAGAATGGCTGAGTCAAAGTCTGGATTTAAAACGATTGACATGCTTTGGCATGACCTTAAACGGGCTGTTTGTGGTGGAAAACGCTTCGATCTGGCTGAATAAAAGCAATTTTGTGAAGAAAAGTGGGACAAGATTCCTACACAGTGATCTGAAAGTCTTACCACCAAGCATCACACACACTTGATTAAAGTTCCTGCTGCCAAAACCAGTTATTAGGTATAGGGTGCGGTTATTTTCCTCACACAGGGCCAGGTAGGTTTAGCTAACCGTTTCCCTTAATAAATGAAATCAGAAATGTAATTTTATATTTACTCAGGGTATCTTTGTCTAGTTGTTTGATGGTCTGACACATGTAAGTGGGACAAATATGCAAAAAACTAAGTATTTAGGAAGGAGCCAAATATTTTTTCACTGCACTGTAAATATTGCATTTTGTGGAACTATTTTAAGCTCTGAAAGAATACACATTTGTTGATGAGCGAACACCTCAGTAAAGGCAACAGCAGAACTGCGTATCTATGGCTTTGACATGTGTTGGTTATTGAATGTGACAGAAACTACAGTTTTCCTCAGACCTCCACGTCAAAATGTCCAAATTTACAGCAGAACTACATCATTGTGTGAAAAATCTGTGGTACATCTACTGCGGTGGTCCTGTGGGTGCCTACTTCCATCTTTTATCTACAGTCTGTAGGGGATGTCTTGTGTATTTTATTTTTTTGTAATTCGTTTTTGGGGCAACACTGGAGCCCTTAGTCGCAGAAGAATGAGATACTTCACACTTTGTGACGCTACAAATGAGAAAACTAGATTATCTCAAGCTTTGACGTATATTTTAATATAATTTTAATAAGTACATATTAGGCATGTGGAAAGCACATATATAAAAGTTTTCAGGCAAAATTATTTTATCTTTATCTTTTTAATGGGTTGTGAATTTAAAAAAAAAAAAAAAGCCTTCCAGCTGCATGTGACTGTCAGGAAAGATCATTCATCCCTTGACTGTTTGTGTCAAAACAGGCTGTGGCTCTTTCTTCCTGCCAAGATAGGATCTGAAATACAGAAAATGACGTGGCTATGAATTTACCAACTGCAAATCAGGAGCCAGTATTTTGTGATTCATAATCATACCAAAAAAAAAAAAAAAAAAGCAGATGGAAAATGTTACTGCGTGGATTCACTGATGTCACTTCTACATCATCTGCATCAGCAGGCGCAGTTTATTTCTCTTTTAAATGCTGTTTTTCCGTGCAGGTGGTGTAAAGTTAGAGCTCCGTCTGGTGACTTTCATACTTTTATGTTGCTCTGTTGTATATCTAATGGCAGACTGTGCTGACCAACATGCACTCAACAGACCACATCATTACGTAACTGCACCATTGTCAGTGCAACGGGACAGAATGGATTTTTTCCTCTGGGCCTGCTCAGCTGGCTGCGCGCTGAGCTGATCTGACAGGGCATGGACCCACCGGTCTGAGCTCTATATGATGTTATAGGGTGTTACTGCACATTCAGCCTGTGCTGCAGTGAAATCGATCCATTCATGCTGTTTCAGACTCTCTCCTGCTCCCACTCGTGTATCTGCTTGTTGCGTAACACATTTTCGAATTTCTCCTCCCTCCTTCTCACTTAGGTGCGTACGGCGATAGCCAGAGGGGACATGGTGACGGCGGAAATAGCCTCCCGCGAGGCGCGCAACTTCTCCTTCATCAGCCTGGCGGTTGGCATCGCCTCCATTGTGCTGTGCACCATCCTCACCGTGGTAGTCATCATAGCATCGCAGCACCATGATGACGACTGGGAGCCGTAACTCTACTATTAAGTCCTGCTGGGAAATCATGGCCTGTATTAGCTAGCTAACTCTCAATCATTATGAGGATGTAGAAGCATTAAAAAACTGCTGCTGGCCCTCTGCATACAGCCACACACACACACAGCTCTGACCTAACCTGCCGCCATCACACACTCACAACCAACCACAGCTGTCGTCCAAATGCAAGCAGCTGTCAAACGAGGCCCAGCTTTGCTGTTATCACAGCGGCCGCTTAATATTTACACCCAGATATGAGCTGCAGGAGGGAAACAAAGCTCCTTGCATTAACAATTCATGTGATGCTGATTAATTTATACGTCCTTCACTGATGTGTTTGGATGAGAGGATAGGCCGCTGTGTGTGTGTTACATATTTTAGCAGCAAAATTGACCAAGTGGCGACCCCCACGGTTGATGAAATTTCAGACGCCTCATTTAAAAAAAAAAAGAAGGTTTATTTAGCATATTTAAGTCTCGCTGGTGCAGATATACATGTGTTCTCTTCTTTATGCGTGCCATGTGGAAGCAGTGTTGATTTGCAGTGTAGAAGTGTCAGAGGGGATAGTCGATGTACATTTATAACATGCCAAATGCAGACTGGACTGACCAATCAGAGTATATATTTCTGTTTATGTATTATATCGACACTTATCTGTTTAAAATGATACTATATGAACTATGTGTTATTTATTTATAATCTGAAATTTATTCATTTATCCAGTATTTACCCATGCATCGACTTTGTCTGCTATAATTTGCAGTATATCGCTGTTTTATTGAATTTGTCGGACTGATTGAATTGGCCTGAATTTGATCTCTTACCACTATGATATTGCACTTTGTAGTAACAGGACGAGATGATGCAGCTGCTTACATTTATAGTTTTTACAGTGCATGAATATAAATCTAAGCTAATGGGCTTTTAGTGCAAAAAAAAAAAATGCTGCTGCTCTTGGGAACATTTCCCTGAAATAAATGTGTGCTGAAGTATTTTTCAAGATGTCAAAGAAGCTACTGTCAAAACAAGAAAAGGAGACAACTTAGATGATAAGTCTTTAAATATTAGGTTTGCGAATATAGCATTTTAGAAGTGTGTTAGCCTTTTTTGTGTTGCACATCTCTTGCTATTTAATCTTTAAAACACTTTTTATGAGACTTAGTGCAAAATTAGAAGAATGAGGCAACATAATCCTGCATGTCATCCTCAGTTTGCTTCCATTTCTCTTAAATACTAAGGCTAGAAGTGTGGCTCCTTTAATTTTATCTACAGAGTTTGTTTTCATGCAATTCTGTGGCTCCACCGTTACTGTGTAAACTATAAAGTCAGGTTTCCGGGGTGGTAAAATGAATGTTTCTAGTGTGTGAGAGAGGAAAACTTAATCCCTGTGTTCTATTGTAGCACTTTCAGCTCTATCATGTTACCTTAGATGAACCTATGACTCTCTCATACTCTCTTTCTCCTCTTAGCAGTTATTGGACCTATTAACATATCTCTGTTGATCCCTAGGATAACAATATTCCAAAAAAAAAATTTTTTTATAAAGATATTAACACAAATAGGGAAAGTTTATAATTTGATAATTACCTAACAGTTTTAATATTATTATTTATATATTGTTTAATACATTGAAAAACATTTATACTGATATTTTTAATCTGAGACAGGAATTTAACCCACAATAATTACTTATTTTACAAATTCCATGTTATTCAATCCTTTTAGGTACATTTTATTTATTCTGTTGCATGTAAAATGTAAGTAACAGGAATAAAACAATAACAATTTGAAGCTGGAACAAAAAAGAACACTAAACCTAAACAGGCTGCTAATCGCTAACACTGTCGTTGTTTTGAAACTGCTTTAACAAGTTAAGATTAAAAATGCTATGTGATTCCCAAACATGCTAGAGGAGTTGTGTTTCAGCATTTAAAATGGATCAGCATTTTAGAGAATGAAATATCTTTCCTGTAAAGAGTTTCACTACCTGTGGCCTTGAGATATTAGCTTAGCTAGCTTAGCACAAAACCTGGAAAAGAGCGGGAAACTGCTAGCTATGTCCAAATGTTTCAAAATCTGCCTTTAAGCATCTCTAAATTTATTTTTACACTTTCTTCTTGTATTATATATAGTAAATAGATGTAATGTTCTAAGTATTAAGCTTTAGAGATGCTAATAAGTGTATTTTTTATTATATTTTGGACTTAGCTAAATTAGCTCCCCCTCAGTGCTAAAATATGAGCGTCAGTATTCTCATCTCATCTTGTCTCATTCTCTGCATGAGAGCTAAATAAATGTGTCTCCCAAAATGTCAAAGTAGTTTCTAAGCAGGAATAAAAATAAAATTTTCCTCTTAAGACTCACATTTTCCTTTTCCCAGTGCAAATACAAGCCCAGTCAGTATGGTGACACTGAATTAAAATCAGTGTTAAATGAAACACAGGGCTGTTTAGTATTATAATTGCACAGAAGGCTCTGGCAGTGAGTGTGCTGACTGAATGGAGTCACTCCTAGTTTGTCTGCTGCTCGGCTGCATCTTCGTATGCAATCCTTTCTGATGGGATGAACTGCAGCTGTTGGCGCTACAGCTGGGAAGTGTGTTCCTCATTTCCTTTTCATTTCTGTGTTTTGTTTTTCGGCTTGTAAATGCAGCGGGTTGCTTGTTCAAAGAGCCAAAAATTACCGTGTACATGTGGTTCTCTTGGGGTTTATTATTCTAATTATGTTCATGGCTGTGCTGCACATGCATTGGTTGTTTCTGACTTCAGTTGTTTGAGTAATGAATAAAACAATAATTTTGAGCTGTGAACAAGAAATCGACAAAGACAGCGTCTCATTCTTTGGGTCTGTTTTTCACCTCTCCATCCTCTCGGTCTCTATGGCATCTCCTCTCTCCCTCATCACTAGGATGCTATTTATAGTTGCCCCGGTTTTCTGCCTCTCTCTGTCTCTTTTTTCCTTCCTCTGTCAGAACATGGACTACAGTGTCTCTTGCTATCTTCTGTTTAATCGCAGGATGTGCTGCAGGTTTTGGGCTCTGCACATTAAAATTAATAAACCTTCCTTAACTGTTTTACTGTATAAACATGTAAAATCATATCACATCGGTCACTTTCATGTTGTTTCCTGGCCATCTTTCTTTTTTTTGCCTCTTTGGTCCGGAATGGATGAAAAAAGACTCATTATCAAACCCACAGTTATTGAAAACATGATTAATAATTATAAATGGATCTTTTCCCCTCTGGAACCACTACAAGGTTGATTTCACTCCCTTTCCACACCATTAAGTCTTTGGACAGTATTTTGTCGTTTTGCCACCACAGTGGACGTTAAATCCTACAATCAAGATGTGAAGTGCAGACTTTCAGCTTTAGTTCAAGGGTTTAACTGAGCTATTTTCATATGTTCAAAAGTAAATGGACAAATGACTGACAAACAGTTTAAAGGCCAGGCGAGACCTGAGTTCAAGTGACTTACAAATAAAAATATTTAGCATTAAAGCTGACCAAGCTTGTTAGCATTAGGTGATCCACCCTCTCAATTCAATTCAGTTTTATTTATATAGCACCAAATCACAATATTGGTTGCCTCAAGGTGCTTTATATTGTAAGCTAAAGACAATTATGGTCACTTTAGGCAACAACTGTTGTTGTAAATAAAAGTAAAAGCACGAAAAAAGTGAAAGCGGTGTCTGTATGTGAGTTCCCATGAGCTCTCAGTGTATATACAGTCCTGTGGTTCCTCTTAGTTGCTGTCTGAACCAGTATGCTTCTGGGTTTCCCCCGACTTTACTTTCAACCTGAATAGTGCAGATCTCAAAGCAGATTTCAGCTCCTTCATTTCACTAACCTGACAGCGAGAACCAAAAGAGTTACAGACTTGGAGAATGAGTGGGTGATAAGGAGGGCTGTGACTGAAACACACCATCTGCTGGTATAAAATAAAGACTTAGATGAGTTACTGAATGGATCAGAAGTAAGCTAACATTTAAAATGAACTGAATAGAATGAACAATTTACCCAAGAAAATCAGTACATTGCATGCCCTCATTATCTAGGGGTGACTTATTCAATTAGTTCCTTTCTCTTGAGACCAGAAAGTAACGTAAGTCACCCAAATATTTTATCACCCCCGCTTTTGTTGTTGCTTCCCAGACTTATGCTTTCTTTCCCGTCAGTTTCTGTGTTCATGAACTGCTTTTATGTACATATGTCTGTCAGCCCCCCTCACATAAAGTCCATAAATAGTCCCCATTTGAAGATTTCTTACATTTTAGAAAACAGGTCATTTTTTTCCAGTGGTAGTTTTCATGCCTTTTTATTTGTTCACTGGTCCGTTTGTTTTCTTCAATAACACTACTATAATTAATTACGCGCATAGGTATTGATATTGCACCAGTTTAAAAATGTGTATTTATTGTTTGTTTATTGATCTCAGCACAACACATTTTAATTCCAGACCTTACATCTTCCCTCCATGCAATTCATCTATTCTGAGAATCTTGCACTGATTTCACATTTTATGAAAATTATTCATGTAAAGCCTGAAAGCCTTGGAGGGTTTATTAAAGTCTCTCATGAATTTAAAATAAGTAATTAAATATCAGTTTTCATATGTGAGTTTTAATTAGTATCATTTTTGTTAGCGCTAGTATTTTTGTGCAATTTATTACCCAAAGTTTGGTATACTTTATTTCTTTTAGTGATCTTTTATTACAGGTTTGTCACTTTGCATTTGAAACCTCTTCTATATTGCTCTTTTGCATATAGTAATCATTAAAATCGGTGGTATTGCCTCTTTAAATGGTGCAAGGTCTCTGTCCAACAGAAAAGAGGTTGGAGGGAAAAGGTGGGAGTCGAGCCAGCCCGTGTGTGCAGGATCACAGATGGTCGTTTAGCCTCCTGAGGAGAGCCGGTGTCTCTGAGATCGTTTAACTTGGCCTCACGCTGCACGCCTCTCTCCTCTATCACACGGTCCCAGCTTCCCCCCCGTGTCGGCCACGCTGGCTGTCTTGCTGTTTGTGTTTGTGTCATCTTGCTGCTCTCTCGCTGGGCTGTCATCTCGGCCCTAACATCAGGACTGATGGGCGACGTCTGGAAATATTTCAGGATGGATTCTGGGAAGTAAAACCGCAGGTGTAGAAGCACAAAATATTTTTTTGCCAGGATGAAAAAAACAAAGCTCATTACACACTGACATCACTTTCCCTTCACACATTGTGTCTTTGTCTACAAATCACTCGACAGGCTTAGTGTCCTTGTCTACAACGGCACAATACGTTTATTCAATCGAATACTGCGCTCGAATGCATTTTAAAGGCAAACATACGTACATATTGCTTCATCATTTTCATTTACTGCTCATCAGTCAGAAGGACACCTGTCACAGGCAGCCATCAATGTTTTATGACCCTTAAATTTACCCCAAATGCACTTTTTCAAGTTTTTCTACGGTGAATTACCAGAAAATACCTATAGAAAAACATGCAACATACCAGTGCTTGTTTCTGTGTTTTTATTAAAAACTGGGATTTTTGTATCACAATATAAATATTAACCCTCTAAGGTCTAAGCTATCAAAGATGCAAAACTCAATCCCACAAAACTCTTTTAAAAAAAATGGCAAAATGAGCCTTCTTGATAAAAATATGGATAGGTTTTAATACGTGTGGAATATGTGATTGCCTGGACTTGCAAGAACAATTTAACAATTACTAAAATTACAAAGTGTGATTGCCTAGGGTTGGAGTAATGTAGTGAGACAGAGCAGTAACATAATATGGAAATAGCACAAGTGCCTCAAAACTCTACTTGAGAAAAACCCATATATACATATACTGTGTGTCAAGTCATAATAACCTGTATTTAATATATGTACAAATAATTTAAACAGTAGTAAGCAGGGGCCATGGCTGACTGCCATGCACACGGGAGGACAAACATTGTTTTACAGCAGCTGGACGGACCTGTGTTCTGCAGTGACAGCGTTTGGCAGCGTGCAAATGAGTAAACATCCAGCTGGTGCAAACAGAGCGGGCAAGAAAACAGCAGCTGACATACAGCAAGAGAGCGATAACCTTAAAACTAAGGAAATGAAGAGTTTGAGGCTCCAAACAAGTCCTTCTGGGAATCAAAATGTTCTTAATCCATAATGCCTCCTGAGAAAAAAGCTGCCATATGTCAGTTTGTGTAGTTTCCAGCTGCTCTCTGTGTTTCTGGTTTGCTTTTGGTTGTTATTGAAGGATCTTCGTTTTGATGTACTGACAGAGGCAGGTGGGGGCTGTGGTGCAGTGGCTCCTCTGACTTCTGTGGTGGGACGATCCTGAGAGCCTCTCAGACACGAGGAGTTTCACATAAGCCGCGCTGTAGGTCATGAGGAGCTGATAGGCTTTAGCCTGCAAGGATAAAAACAAGGTCATAAGCAGATATTGGATGTGTGTAAGAGAGAAAATGTGAGTTGGGATTGAAACTATCAATATGCAATCTTAAATGTGCTTTGAAATGATTAGTTAAGCCTTTTCTGCAGGCTACACTTTGAAACAAGGGGCTTATTAAGGTCTCAGTCATATAAACGTAGCCATAAAAATGATCAGTTGCTCATTAACTGAAAATACTAGTGCAATCTCTAGTGCAACATTAATCAGCAGACAGGCGCTGCTGCTCAAATGCACTCGACTGATTGATCATCAGCAAATCTGAGCACCTGTGGTGGCTGGCGGTAAAAATCTTTGAGGTGGTGGGTCAAAGAATGTAAGGCACAAACACTAATATTTCCTAAACCTTTACATGAAAAAAACAACAACTTTAAAAACAAATCTAAATAAACATTTTTGCCCTCCTCTTCTTTTGGGTGGCACATTTTTTGGTGACTATTTGATATAAGAAGGAGGCGTTCACCCCACATCCAACTGGCTAGCTGCACTTGTGCTGGAGATGGCTGTACAAGCAGAATCATGGCACATACTCCGTTTTTCACTCACTGCTTTTGGCTTAGTTTCCGCTGAATAAATAATGACATGGTGTAATACAGTATATTGTGTATTGTTCAGCTGAGGCTCTACCTATTTTTAGAATCTGGCAAGAACCAAGAAAAAACCAGAGAGGGGAAAAACACAGTTTGGATAATGAGCCACTACTGAGCTGTTTTACGCATTCATTTCTTAGAATTTAAGCCCAAGTAGACGTGCTGACAGATTTCTTTTTATTCACAAAAGCAGCATGTCTTTGTCAAAGAGATAAACTGACATGTCCTGTTGAAACCGCACTCAGGGATTACATGTGTAGTTAAACTTCTTTGCACTGAGAAAGAGCTGTTTCACTGGTCCGGCCCACTTAAGATCAAAGTGAGCTGAATGTGACCCACGATATAAAACAAGCTTGTGAGGTTTGGTAACAGAAGCCATTTTGCTCCTCCAATGAAAAGCAGAACGCTTCAGCTCTGATTTTAGTGCCCCGTGAAGCTGCACACATCTGTGATCAGCCAGATGTGATAGATCTGTTGCTGATATGACTAACGTGGGTCTACTATCGCCCAGACCATCATGTCTCTCACCTGAGAAGGTAAAGCTGCATCGGGGACGAGGCTGTAGTTTTTGGTGGCTGTGGCGTCCTTCTGCTGGTTGGATGATGGGCCGCTGGCTGCGCTGCCATTCCCCAGCAGAGGCGTCTGCTCATCGGAGTCCTGCTCCTCCGCATCTGAGTCTCCGGCCGACACTTTGGTCACCAGGACGAAGTGAGACATCTTGCTCTTCAGTTTTTTCTGATGGGAGTTAGACATCGATTTTATCATTTTAAAGAGCAAATGTCTGCGTTTGTTTCCTGCGGCAACCTGGAGTTATATTTCTATCGATCTGGAAGGAGGGCAAACAGCGGAGCTCCTGAAAAATCGATGCAGCAGCAGCAGCAGAACAAACCGGGCGACAGATGTACTCGACTCTCTCACCTGAGTGTCAGTCGTCGCAAAGCTGAGCTCCTCTAAAGTTTCAGTCAGCGCCCTCAAACAGGGGGACATGTCCCAATACACGAAGTACAGCTACAGAGAGACACAGAGAGGGGACAGCAGACACGAGCTTCAATGGACCACTGATGCCTATTAATCACCACATTATTTCATTTTAATAGATCTGTTTAAAGCATGGAAGATGCCCTGCACCACAACATGCAATATTATTACTCCTGTGAACACTTCAGGATTTATTTTATATTTACCTTAAAAATAATCTTGCATCACTGCCTTTGCTGTTGGATTAGTTGGTGTTGGAGTTTTGAATGACTCATACTCTTGAGTTTTAATTTGTATCATATTTGCTACATCCGACATGCGACATCTGACATTTTCTTAGGCTTTTCAGGTGTGGGCGATCAAAAACTCATTTATTAAATATGATTCAATAGGTGATAAGTCCTTAAATTGTTTTTTTCTAGTTTTGGCAGTCAGGAAATAAAGATATGAAAACTGTTTTTGTCTTTTTTATTCTTGGACAGCATGATGTTGTTAAGGAGACTAGTCTGTGTGCTTCTCTTTTCCTAAACCTTTATCGTTATCCTGCACACTTTTCCTCCACATCACGATGTTTTCCACTGAGGTCAATTAAAGGTTTTACTTCCTCTCATTGGCCGTTTTCCTTCTGTCTGACTGTTTGCTGTCATTGGTGCTGAATCGTCAGTCATCTCTGTATTTGTGTATTTATCTTTGGCAGGTTGTAAACAAAAAAGGGGAAATGAATGAAGTGGAAGTTGGTAGCCTGAACTGTATGAAACAGCTCATACTCAGCTTCATATTCTGCCAGTTTGAAGTGATGTTATCAAACTAACCTTCATGTTTCCGGTGCAGTTTCGCACCCAGTCAGCCACGCCCACCAGCAGCTTGTGTCTCACCAGCATCTCGTTAACCTGGACCAACCGAATATCTAAATTCACGTTGATCTGACGCAGAAATGGTTTGAGAATCAGTTCAGGGTCAGACTTGTGTCAAAACTGGCTTCACCGGCATGTCGTGACAGCTGACTTACCTCCTTGTTACTGCAGTGAAGGATGAGGATGACGGCAGTGGTGAGGACGATGGAGATCAGGCTGACGGAGAGACAGAGGACCCAGTAGTCGCTAACGGTGATGTAGAGGTGGAGGGTGGAAAACACGGCACACCACAAAACCACATACAGCACCTGGTGGAAGAAGAGGGGAGAAGGCTTTAGGAGTGTCAGCTGTGAAGCTAAACCATTAAATATTCTGGTTCTCAAAACTGTAGGGCGGACCCACTTGTGAAAATACTGAGTGAAACTAAGCGAATATGAACGTTGATGCCTTTGCATCCTCGCTGAGCACGAGCTCTGCTCGAATTAATGTCTAGCTGGATTTCACTCTGCCTCTGTGTGACTGGTAATGGAACATTAAAAGGGTGATTTTTACTGTTGTTGTTGATGTTTGTTCAGAGTTATTAATAAAGAGATATGTTAATACAGAGATGTGTTAATGATGCTTGTTTTGATTGGAATTCCAAACGTATTAGTCTGTTTATTAATTACTAGATAAACATAAAAGAATTAGTAACTACAGTTTTTCACTAAATACTTACAGCCAGAGCAAAAACACTGAAATCATGGCAATTACTCTATTCATGACTCTCAGATGAAAGGACTTCCTGTTTTCTCTGCCATAAGTCAGCTAAACTACACATTAACAGTTTCACACAACTCCGTGCAGTCCTGTGCTGGTCTTCCAGGACCGGATGACCCAGCAAATCCAAACATGCAATGGCCAGAGAAATTGCAAAAAAAAAAAAAAAAAGAACCCCCAAGAGCTACATATCAGAGTCTAAATGTTGCAGAAAAAGACTGAACAAGTGTAGTTTGTTTGTTAGGGTAGCTGGGGGACAGCCTCTTCTAAGCATAGCTTAGGCTTGCAAATTGGATCTAAACAAAAAGATTTATTTGTATTGGATATTTAATAAAGAACAATGCTTTTTAATACTGAACTAGTGTAAAGTCAATTGACTTGTATGCTAGAAGTAATGTAAATGTGGTATACTTTTAATGCATATTTTAATAGATTATAAATCAAAGCACATAGATAATCACAATAAAATCATTTAATTAAACAATTTAAAAGTTTCAACTAAAAAAATAAATAAATATTGTTGTTTTGTTTTTTTCTGGATTGTTTGAGAGTACACTGTCTATAAAACCTGAAATCGGTGTAACTTTTCCGCATTTCTTTGTAAGGTGTTGTAGCAGCCTTTAAGGGGAATTCCTCTGAACAATGAGCCTCTGAAAAGTTCCTGTCTATCCAGTTAGTCAAGACCTTGGAGGTTTGATGAAAGTGCAGAATTTACTCAAACTGATTGATGGAGATCTTTGTTTGTTTTGCTCTCTTTTCTATTTTCGCTCTGACTGTCAGAAACAGCCCGCACAAGAAAAACTTTTCAAAGAAAGAATGAAAACCGAAAGAAAAATATTGAAAATAAACAAAATAAACACAGGAAGTGATAATAGAGAACAGAAAGATCATCATACCGGTGCCATTATAAAATGAAACTGAGCCGAGTTGAAAACCATGTATCTCCTGACCGAGGGGACGTCCAGAGCTGTTTTCAGTGGAGTCTCCATGTCTTCACGTGGAATCTAAAATCGTGAAACAAACAAATTAATTTGGTAAAGATTTCTAACGTGCTGCTGTTCAGTGTGTGCGTGTGTTAACCTGGAAGCCCTCCCTCTCCAGTTTGGCATGGCACTGAGGCAGATTAAAGCTGGGGTACAGCATCGAGCAGCTCGGCACTGACGCTACACACTGACCTGAGAGAAAGACAAGAGTATGGAAACAAAACCTTTGAATCGATTGATTGATTCCTTTCATTTCATCCAAATACATAAACCAAAAAACATCACAGACCAACACCTGACAGTGTGCATGCGATGAGAATAATGAAGACTAAAAAGTAATCGTAAAGATCAACTGATTTCAATAGTGAACCTTTTTTAAATGTAGGTCATTAAAACCTCAGTCCACCTCTGGTATGTTAGTCATCACAAACAACTTTAAGAAAAGTAGCCACAGGATGAGCTGTGGGGTTAAAATATGCACCACAGATTTAGAGCAGACTTTTTAATCCGAGACCTTTACAGAACATAAATAAAATCTAACACTGTGTAACTTACAAGGAAATGAGGAAACTGTGCTCAGAGGTGAAAATTGCCTTTATGTGTTTCTGGTAAAGCGTGCAGGCTCGAAGCATTCCTGGCACAACAGTCCCAGCACTGGTATGTGGTTCATTATAAGGCGCAGGAGGAATTTCACACTTCAGGTTTGAATAGGCGACTGCAGAAGCAGTTCCACAAGAGCATAATCCAGGTTTTTTTTTTTGTCCTCGTTTCAAAGAACGTCTCTGTTAGCTGTAAGAATGATTGTGCTGGTTTAAAATGTGCCATGTGTGATTCAATCATTTGTCACAGGAAACCAAGAATAGAAGAAAATAAAACATGTCATCAAGGTGTGTCTGTGTGAAAACTATTTTGGGATCATAATGCCTCCCACACACCGCTTCAAAAGTCTCTTTGGGTGTGGAGCCACTTCAGATAGGGCGTGGACAGTGAGGGGGGAAATAAGGAATGACGTTAGGTTGAAGGATGATGATCACTGCTATCGCACTGAAAGAACCTGCATGGTTGTGTGTTGTGTGTGTCGCTGTGTACTGTCACATGGGGGCAGTGTCAATTTGCCTGTAGGCTACTCTGGTTTGTCTGTTTTTGGATCTTTAGCTGCTGAGGAGACTACAGAAGTTGTGCAGTCAAAAGAACTAGTGAAGTGAAACTCAGTGCTAAAAACAATGAAAACTGCCCACTGCAGTCAGATCTGTGCTGCTTTTTAAAATCTCCGATGCAGTTTTCTTCCTTTTCAAGCCCACTTTATAACCAATCAGCACTGCACCTACAAATAATGTTATTGCTATTGGGCTGTTGAATTCTTGGACTGCATGTAAGCATGTGTTGTATACCCCAAAATCCTTCACTCTGTATTTAAAAGCCTGCACAAGGGCACTCAGTGTGGTACCACTGTTTTCTGTTTTAGTGCTAAAAAGCTTAAAAATGTATTAAGACATCCAAACACACGCGTGTGGAACACAGACTGAAACAGGCCGGAGTCAGAAACAACTTGCAAACAATCCATCCAGAGAGTTCTTGAATTATTGGTTAGATTGACGCAAACAGTCTGTAAGTAAGATGAGATTTTAACTCGCTTTTTCAACCTTTACACAACCGTTGCATTAATATTTTCTCTGAACTGAAACAGGCACTATAATCATAGTAGAAGGTAGTGTAGGTCTGACTAAAGCACTATGTGGGCAAAACTGCCATACACAGGTGCTTCTGGACCATGGAAACCTGTGCTATGAAGCTCCCAGCACCCGGTCTTTGTGCTGATGTTAATGCTAGCCGAGGCTTGTAGCTCTGCAGTCATTGAGCCAACACAGAGTTGGCTGCTTTTCCACACTGTCCACTTCAGCAGCGACCGAGCTCTGTAAGTTTTTATGCCTGAGTTGCCGTGATCTCTAAAAGCTTCCACTTCTTATCACGTCACATATCACAAATTACAGATGATTGTGGAACATCTAAGAGGGAGGAAATTTCAGTAACTGAGTTGTTGCAGGGGTGGCGTCCTATTACAGCACCACGCTCTGATTTAGTTAACCCATTCTTTCTCAAATGCTTTTAAAGGCAGTCTGCCAGTTTGGTGCTTGGTCTTATACACCTGTGGCAACGGGACTGAAAACACCTGAATTCAAAGCCCGGTACTTTTCTCTATATAGTGTGTGAGATGAATTACCCAATTTGGCTTTTATTAAATATGATTTATCAGCTTGTTCATGTTATTTACAACCAATTCAACAGATCAGTTGGTAGAAAACACACAGCTTTGATAATAATCCAGTGCTTTGACAGAACTGGAAATCTAGTCTACTAAAATGAATTCCAAAGATTAAGGTCACACAAACACAGACAAAAAGAATTAAAAATATTAACATATTTCAAAGAGACTGGAGGCAGGCAGTTAGGGAGACAGCTAAAGGATGATAAAAGGCATCACATCTAAGCAAGTCTATAGAAATGAATTTTTAGAAGCTATTTAAAAGAAGCCGTTAATTCTGAAGGATGGTCTCCTCAGAAAGGTCACGTCACAGCTGAGGGTTGTCTCTAGATTTGAACCTTTTGAACCACAAAAAAAGCCCCACCTGAAGCCTCGAGCAGGCTCATACGAGGTCAGTTATTCTGCTGCCTCGCTCGAGGCAGACCCAAACAAGCTTTAAAAAAGCGATCAGTAAACTCTTAAATCAGTTCGTACGTTGAGCCAACAGAGAGAAGCCAGGATGGGGGTGATGTGATGCTGTCTGAAGTATCCAGTAAGATGCCAAGCACCTGCCAGACAGCAGGAAGGTGCAATAATCCAGGATTAAAAAGTACATAGACGACTTTCTGCAGATCTGAGTGTGAAAGTGTAGCTTTAATTCTATAGATGGCTCTAACTAGGATAACAATTTTTAACGTGAGACTCAAACATGAGGCCTGAATTGAAGTGAACACTCATGTTTCTGGCAGCTTTCAAATGCCCAAGAGAAGCTCTCAGTTTGTGGGATTGAACAATTGCATTTGTGGTACTTTGTTTCAGAAACTGCTGTGACGTCCAACATTTAACCTCACTGAGGTGGTTTAAAAAAGCAGCTCGGCTTTTAGGTCTCATTAGAAGGTATATCTGCTTGTCCCAGGCGTAGGAATGAAAAGAGAGGTTTGGGAAGCGAATAAATAGAAAATAAAATTGCACCACAGGTAGCACAAGCTGCAGAGGATGAAGGGTTTTCTACACTGTTGAGAATGCTCTCATGACTGTTTTGTATCAGCAAAAAGAAGCAGAAACATCAAAGTAATCCAAATGAATTGATTCAATTATTTCTCTACACCATAGGCCTTAGCAGGCTACACTTTGGCCAGGGTTAGGCACAAAGATTTTGCTATTTATTTATCCTACTTCCTGTTTTATATCTAACAGCTAAACATCCTGATTCATACTGAGACCAGAAGCCTTGTTCCTTCAAACAGACGCAGTAAAAAGGCAATTCATTTCGTTAACAAGCTACAAATGTCAACTTGCAAAACAATACCGCCAGTAAATCAGCATAAAAAGCTATATGCCATAAATTCATCTTCCATCAGCAGCTGATCTTTGATGCACAAAAACTGAACTAAGGATGTGATGAATGAAGAGCTGTTTATCAAATACATACAATAAAAAAATGCAGTTACCGTTCGACCAGTCAGGTCTGCTGTTGATGCTGTCCCGCGCATGAGGTCTGGAGTACTGAATTTGAACGTCCCCCTCCCTCTCTTCCACTATGTGGCAAACTCCGTTGCTGTCCTCCATCACCTCGGGGGTCATTGTGTCCTTAAGAACAAAACAATTAAATTTTTTTAAAAAAAATCTAAACTGTTAAGCTTAAAAGTTCCTCTGGCTCATGTGATGGCAGAGTCATGCACGATTTTGCAAGAATCACAAGAAGACAGTCAGAAAGAAAATCATGTGCGTGCAAGAGGTTGTGACTGCCAGTATGAATAGCATTGGGAAACTGTTTGGTAAGCTTGGAGAACACATTTGTGAGGAAGCACGTCATGATAAGAGATAAAGTAAAGAGGAATGCATTCCTAGTGTATGAGTCCTAGTGTATGAGTCCCAACAAAGGGGAACTTCAAGACGGTACACACAAAACCAAGGGAAGTAAAATATTTAGCTACTATCAGTACTGAACTGCGCAGAGAGCTGAGTCATGGGCATGTCAATAAATTAGAGAGAAATGACTGAAAAAGTTAAAATCACTTTTGCATTGATTACATACTAGAAGTAACTTGACAAGCACCTGAAAAAAGTGTAGCTGTACTGTTTTACATAAAACAGTAGTGCTACATGGTTTTATGCATGTTGTATATTAGATGCATGTTTGAACTTTTTTACTCTTACATCACCTTGATGATCAGTCAAATGTTACAAATGCAGCACATAGTCCTCCAACACAGAGAAAAGCATGTATATTAGTCTCTATATGCCAGCCACTTTGTTAGATACACCTGTTCAACTGTTCATTAACACAAAAGTGTAATAACCCAATCACATGACAGCACCTTTATGCATTTAGGTACATAAACATGGTCTGAAAAATAGGAAAAAAAAGTTTATAGTTTATAGGGTGACTATGTAGCATATAAGGTAAGGTTCTCATTCCATTTCATGTTCATTTCAGCCGTCCATGGATCCCTACATCTTTGCACCACTTGAATAAACTCCATGAGAGCTTTAGGTGCACATGTATAGCTCATGTTTCCCCTAAACTGTAGTATTCTGTAAGTAAACTAAAAGAAACTAAACCCAGAGTCGATCTGTGACCAGTAATTTAAAAAGCTAAAGCTAAATATGTTAAAGAAACCACAGCCATAACGATAACGGGGACAAAAAAAAAAAAACCTTAAAGAGGCCTTTATCGCTAATAAACACATTTACGGTTAACTGCGAGAAGTCTGCAACCTTGCAGGAAACTTCTGCTTTCGGGGCTGTGGGCCGTTACTGCTGTGCAATACTGATACAATATATTGTATCAGTATCTGCTTACGGAGGCAGAACAAATGGGCTGAACTGTTGAGAAATTACATTTTTGTGATTATTTTGGAGTTTTACCAGTATCGTTCGTTGCACACAAACGTGCAAAAATGCCATAGCATTGAAGCTGTCTCATAAAAGAAGAGGAGACACAGGTTTCTTGTGGACAGTACACCTGAACCAGATCCCTCTCCAGCACCAAAACTGACCGTCAAATAAAAGAAAAGTAATGAACTTAAATGTTTTTTAACCAGCTCTCTCTGGCTGTCGTTGGAAACAAAGTTTAGCAGTTAAGTGTGAAATTTAAACTGTCGGTGTCTAACCTATTGAAGTCTAACTTCTTCGTCACTGCTCTCATTCTGACTTTATTTACTTTCATTTTCACTTCCTTGATTGTTAATAAGGTCAAACGTTAGACCTTATTAACAATGTACTGGCATGGAGACAGTTTATCACTGCCTGCTTACACTGCACCTGCAGATGAGGATGGGGAAGAAAAAGAATGACACATTTCACACATGTGCAGGCAGGCTGTATCTTTGCACTCGCTGCATATTTTTACCACTCAGAGGGCTTTATCAGTAAACACCCAGCTGTTATCTTTACAATGCATGATGTTTTCATGTCCGGCGTTGCAAACTGCACATCCTTTTTGCCTGCTCGTGAACTAAACTGTGTATCCCTAACCTGACGTTAAACTGAAGCCTCGACGATGACAATGGTTGAATATTTTTGCTCCTACGCATTTTTTTTGTGCGCAAAAGTTCCTCTGTAAGTTGTTTTGTTTCCCCTGACACCTGTACACGTGAGAGCTCCAAAGCAAGACTAAACATGTCCTACCTGAACTTCAGATGAAACTCCATCAGTTCACCAAAGCTGGCATCTTTGGATTCCCTTTGTCCTTCCTACCATAACTCTTGTTAATCGAGAGAATTACCACATGATGGTCCTACAGACACACACAGAATTGAAGCGTATGCCTCTATCACACACGAATGTGTCTCAGCCTCTCTCTCTCTCTCTCTCTGGCTTTCTCTCTCTCGCTCTGTTTCTCTCTCTCTCGTGACTGAGCTCAGCCCAAACTCATGACTGCAGGAATGTGGTTTGTGTGGTGTTCAGCTCAACATGTCAGCATTAGAAATAGGCTCATGGCCTTCATGCAGGGACCTGTTGAGAAAAACTGACTTCATTTTGATATATATATATATGTATATATACAGGGTGGGCCATTTGTATGGATACACTATAATAAAATGGGAATGGTTGGTGATATTAAAGTCCTGTTTGTGGCATATTAGTATTTATGAGGGGGCAAACTCCTCAAGATGGGTGGTGACCATGGTGGCCATTTTGAAGTCAGCCATCTTGGATACAACTTTTGTTTATTCAATAGGAAGAGGGCCATGTGACACATCAAACTTATTGGTAATGTCACAAGAAAAACAATCTGACCACCTATAAAATGTGTTCAATGTGCTGCCCATTGTGTTGGATTGTCAATGCAACCCTCTTCTCCCACTCTTCACACACTGATAGCAACACCGCAGGAGGAATGCCAACACAGGCATCCAGTATCCGTAGTTTATATATATATATATATATATATATATGTGTGTGTGTGTGTGTGTGTATAGTTTTATGACTATATAATAGTCATAAAAAAAAGTCATATAGTTTTATGACAATTTAAGGTTAGTTTTCTCTTGCAAGAAGCTAAAACTTCAGAATGACTGTTACACATTAACTCATAAGGTCCAAGGACACCACTGTGGGTCAATATGGATTCACACGAATGTGAAGATCTAAATATAATATCCCCAGACCAAGGTGTGCTAAATCACACAGAACAGAGAAAGGTCAGATCTTAACACAGTCCCAAAAGACATAAGAGTTTAGACAATAAATCAGACATCTACAGCCACAGCACCCTGTGTATTAGTAATTTTTTCACATTTTACCTTTAAATGTGGCACCAGCTCCCTTAAAAGACAAACAGCACCTTCCACATCCACACAGGAGTGTCATGGCATTCATGTTTTTGGCAGTTTTAATAATTAAAAGTGCAATCAGCAGCTGCTCTGCTGCAGAATATGATAGAATATAAAGAGAGACGTATAATGTGCACTGACACTTAAGTGGGTATGCTAGTTTACTGATTTATATCTTAACCACCGGATTTCCCTCCTTCCCTCCTATTGAAAAACACCTCTAGGCACACACAGTTTTTGAAAATGTTTTGTATCTTTTCAAGAAAAGGTATATTGCACCAATAGGAATCCTTCCTCACTGTAAAGGTTTAAAGTTTAAACTTTTTTTTTTTTTTTTTTTTT